GTCGAATTTCCACCACTGACTCAGGGCCCTCGACAGGAGATGAGCAACTGCCTCAATGTCTCATTGAGCAGTAGGAGATCGCGCTGACTTTTGTATTTTTCACACGGCCACGCGACAATCAATTTAAATTAAATATTGAGCTAAATTTGGGGTGGTGATATGACCAAGCGCAGAGGTCCGCGGTTCTAACCCGGCAGGCCACCCTGGCCATTGTTGCGGTGCGCTGTCCACAGCCGGTGTCAACGATCCTCATGATGTCGTTCTCAATGAGGAGGGCATCGCGTGCCGGCATCGTGTGAATAGCGCGGGGTTCAAAATGTACTGAATCAACAGAATTGTTTGTTCTCAAAAGAAATTGCGGGTTTTAAATGGGTGGCTTGTGTGTAGATATATTTAAGTCTGCCTTGAAAACCCATCTCTTTAAATGGCCTTCCCTCTCCAGTTTGTTCGGCTGCCCTTGATTCTGTTTTTGTTTCCTGCTTTTCATGCACTGCGCATCGAGATCCTAGGATGGAATGCGCATTATACGTTGGAATTATTATTATTCCAGATTTTTCGGACGTGGTATCCCGCTGCGGTACGAAGCGTGTGGCGTGCACAGCAACGTTGATTTTTAATGACTCACACTGGAGGAACGGCGGGGGGGGGGGGTGACCTCTGCCTGCAGTATCCGGCAGGTAGAAATTATGCCTCGGCAGTAACTGTGACAAAATCAATCGCCGACGTTGTCACCGGCAGCGGCTGCCACCTTTTGGACTTGTCACACTCAAGAGCGCCGGGCCAAGGGGCTTCCCGGAGCAGGCTGACAGACGAGGTGACATTGACCAGTAAAATGCCCATTGCCCGGAGGCCACGGGTAAACAGTGTCTGGTTATATAGTGCACGGCCCTGGTACAGCAGCAGCAGTAGCAGCTGTATGGGGTTGCAGGCGGCAGATCCCTTTTGTTCAGCTCCACTTAACGATGTCAGATTTTCCACGGCACCGGATTTGCCTCTCCGTCTTCACACTGCATTGGGGGGAATGTATTGGGGAAGAAGTTTACGCCTTTTAATTTTGAAGCGACTGGTTCTTGACGGTGTTTACTTCAGGTGTGTTCTGGACGATGCATCGCTTTATGTCCCTGCTCAGTGGATGAAACCCTTCTTTGCTTTGTTCGTTTTTTTTGGTCATTCTCGATGAGTTTTTGTTGTTGCATTTGTTTAAATTGTTTTGTTTTTTGCTGATGTAATCCCATGCAGGGGCTGAGTGGGGGGCTGAGTGGGGGGCTGAGTGGGGGGTTAGGGGGGGCTGAGTGGAAATTTGGTTGGGCCGAGTGGGGGGTTGGGGGGCCTAGTGGGGGGTTGGGGGACTGAGTGGGGGTTTGGGGGTGCTGAGTGGGGGGGCTGAGTGTGGGGTTGGGGGGGCTGAGTGGGGGTTAGGGGTTTCTCAAGGCACCCAAGTTTTGTTCCCGCGTGAAGCCAAACTCGCAATCAAGAGAACTGGCCAAGCGTCCCAGTGCTTCAGGACCCTCCTAAAAATCTGTCCTGAGACTCGGCGAGGGTTTCATGGGAAGTAATTTGCCTTCTTCTTACTACGATTGTCATCAACAGAAAATAATAATTTGGCGTCATCGCGATGGCGGGAGGCAGCTTCTAAGCCCCTTGATCTCCGTGCCAAGGGATCTGGGTCAAGCATGTTGAGTGTGTGTCATTAAGAATTGCTCTGCGCGTGTCATTAGCACCTCCGATTAACACGGTTGGCTCAGTACGGTGTGAAAGAAGTTCAGCATACATACACACACGCACGTACAGACACTCGGCACCTGGGGCACCCTTGCGGATCTCAAGGGACGTTCCGGTGAGAAATACTTGAATCGATAAAACAAATGTAGAATAAAAATGAATAGCTAGACCGCAACAGAAGTATCGACACTTCTCAAATCCCTCCGCTGCTCTCTAGTGGCAGCGCTGTTCAAGGGCAGATCTAAACATTCACAGGGAATAGGAGGTTTCAAGACGCCTTGATAGAGAATGTGCCAAATGTACGACGGTATAACATCTTAAGTGTAAATTACGCGAGAAAATCAGGATGGATTATGTGTAATATTGAGTTATGTGGTATTGTGTAATGCAGTGTTATGTAACGTTCGATTTGTTCATTAAAACAAGTTTGACCGGATTCACGAGCGTGAGCTCTATTGGGTGGATCTAGGTTAGCCCCGGGGCTGCGCTGAAGCCCTTTGAGCTGCGGGAGAGGCCCTCGCTTTCACGCAACGAGGGGCTGGCAGGTGGCCCAGCGGCAACACTCGCGCCTCACGGCAAGGATTCCCTGGGTTCGATTCCCCACACTGGTGCCTTTCTGTGCGGAGTATCACACGTTCTCTCTCCCCCTGCCTGTTTTTTAGTGGGTTTCCTCCCGCAGCCAGATGCCGTGCGCACGCTGTAAACCGGTGCTGACGAGTTACCTGCAAATCACTCGGTTGGGGGCAATGCATAGCGGCAGCGTCGCCGCCTCCTTAGAAAACGTGGCAGGACCCTCGTGACGAGGAGTCTTGAGACTCGGTGAGGGGTTCCCTGGGTAAACGAGGCAAGTCATCATCATAATAAGAAAGTAAACTTTTCATCTGGATTTTTTTAGAGTGATATTGTATCATGAACCAATTTTGACATGGCCTAAAGTGCGGGTTAAGGAATGTTTAGGAAAATATAATGTACGGCGTGGGTGCTTTTGGTGCATTGTCTGATTTGTCACGATGCTTTAAAATCGGTTTTTCTGCACCGTTTTGCATGTAATGTTTTCTTGCAATCGGGGCAACCTCGATTCCATTTTAGTTTTACCATTTGAGGCCATTTAAAAAAAAAATTTCGCCTAGATATCAGTAAAACGTCGATTGTTTTAGAAATTGATGTAAACCAATGTACATCGGGAACCAGTTGATAGGCACCAACTCAAAACGTAAAACTCTCGACTCACTTTTTTTCACCAGACGTGGGGGAACATTTCGATTGACAAAAATAGAAAAAACCCTGGTGACATAACCGCCGTGTTGTTTTGGTCAGAGCAGGGGGGCACACAGTTAGAAGGGGGGCCGCGTGGGCGTTTCAACGCTGCGATCGCCGCCCGCCACGGAGACGCGTCGCTAGATCCCGCCGCCGCTCCCTTGAAGATTGGAGGTGTGCGCTCCCACGGTTATCATCATCATCATCGGCGGCGTGGCGGCAATGCCCGCGATTACAGGGTAATGAGAGAACGTGCGGAGCGGCATCGCACGTCCTCCTGCCGACCCGCCGAGACGGGACGGGGGGGGGGCGCTCGCTGCACGTTGCCCGGTTGTCAACCTCGGGGTGGCGGCAATGTCCCATGGAGGCCCTGAAATATATATTGCGCAATACAAGCGGAAATCTGACATTCGTGTCCCCTACAGAGGTAAATTAAATTGAGCCTCACTCGCAGCGTGGACGTGCGGCTGTAAAGCTCGTGCGTCGAGCACTGGCGCGAAAAGGAGCAGCTGCTCTTGTGAGTTATGGCTCCCCCCCCCCCCGTCTTTGTGCGTGTCAGCAGAAAACGGCAATAAGGCCGATCTCTCATTTTATACCGAGCCTACAACGAGTCAAAGTGATTTCATGCACAAACGAACATTCACACGCCGCGCTCATCTCTGCTCCTCCTAGTCCCTGAGCCAGCGGTGGTAATTCCACATTCCTACAGCAGGGGCGAGTCTGCCCCACAAAGTGGTCCCTGTTTTATCGACCCCGGAGGGATGATGCGTTGAATCAATCCTCAAACCCTGGGTTATACCATAGGCTAGGCTATACCAATTGGTCGACAGAAACTACAAGGCACGTTCGTGTCCCTGGTACCCAGCACAAATCAGTTTCCCTCCCCCCTTACAGTTACAATGGAAGACTTTTTGCACGAGTCATCATCGTGAACAGCCGTGGTCAATCCACTGGCGGTGTGAAGGCAAGCCGCCGTCGCCTCTCACAATGTCACAAAGTGACGGTCCACCCACAGCTCCCTGCACGCAGATCGAATCTGTTTCACGCCGTCCGAATGGAACAGCCGCACGAGAGATCACCCGGAGAAAGTAGGGCGTCACGCGAGTGCTGTACGACGAGTCCCACTTTCATTGCAGAGAAGTCGACAGCAGAAATCGGCCGCCGTCGTCTTTGAATCCAAGGCCACGCCGGCTCGCGGGCACCGGTGGAGCCGTGCCGCATCGTTCGCTTGAGCCGGGGGGGGGGGCGGGGGGGCGAAGGGGGTTTGCCGTTAGTGAGAACTCGGCGGCTGGCTCAGCGGTAGCACGGCCAGCGACCGTCCCGGCCGCATTGGCCATTGGCTGTGCCGCACGCGCTGCGTTTGTAAATGTTTCCAAGTGGAACGAGTCATGACGCCGGAGCCGGACGTACAATTGTGTTACGCTCGCGATGAGCCCGAGAATGCGTCGTTTCCCCGTTCGTTTCTCGCCGCAATCGATTAGCACGACTTGCGCAGCCCCCTGCCAGAGACGCTGCTTTTCACTACGGGGATGAGGCAAGAATGGATCCTCGAATAAAACCACCGCCGGCGCCGTCACCAGTTGCTGCGATCCACCTAGTGATGTGCGTGAAAAAAGAAATTCGTGAATTTTGAGCGTGTCAAAGACAATCGACTCTTAACAAGTAGGTTGTTGCAGCCAATATTAAGATTTATCATTTTATTCTGATTTTTCTTCTCAAGAGACTTGGCACAGTTTCGAGTGAAACGGCGCATATCCAATTGCTTAATTTGTTGCTGAGAGTTGTTGATTAACTTGCCGGTGAGCTGAAACAAAAACATTCGCTGCCTTAAATGTTTTGTACGTGAAATGTTTTGTACATTAAATGTTTGTACACTGCATGACAATTGAATTCACTTGGCTGTGTCAAGTGGTGGGGGAGGGTCCTTCAACACGGATTTGGCCAGATCATCACGTGCCCTAACCCAGCAATGAACAGCGGATTGTAATTGCATCTCTTAATTGTGGCGCGTGGGTTTTCAGGTTGGCTCGCGTTCTGCACGGAGGTCGTTGCTGCCTCACGCTGATGGATCGGTCGAACGGCGCCAATCAATAGAAGAAAAATCAAGGCGGAAGAAACTACACCCCACCTACGCCCCACCGGAGACGATTTGATAAACACCCCCACCTTTGTGGACATGATATTGGCATCATCATTCGTATCTAGATCAGTGTGAGCCCCCCGCGTGAGCCCCCCGCGTGAGCCCCCCGCGTGAGCCCCCCGCGTGAGCCCCCCGCGTGAGCCCCCCGCGTGAGCCCCCCGCGTGAGCCCCCCGCGTGAGCCCCCCGCGTGAGCCCCCCGCGTGAGCCCCCCGCGTGAGCCCCCCGTTCCCATCGCGAGCGGCGGCATCGCCGCCGTCGTCACACAGCGGCAGGCAGGATGCGCGCGTGGCCCCCGTCGTGGCGATGGATCATGCTGATCCTGTTGGCGTGGGGCTCCCTGCTCGTCTACATGGGCGGCCACCTCATCAGAGACCCCGAGATGGGCGAGCACTCGAGCCGAGAACTTTCCAAGATCATGGCCAAGCTGGAACGGCTCAAACAGCAGAATGATGATCTGCGGCAGATGGCCGAAGCCCTACGGTGAGCGGCCTCCCCCCCCCCCCCAAACCTCTCCCATCGCGCGTTGCTCGGCCGTTGCTCGCATGCGCGCAGGGGAAATACGCGGGCTCAAGCCTGCTTAGCTTGCGGGGCTTGGCGAGAGAGAGCAACTCATCCACAAATAAAAAACGATGCTTTGGAGGCATAACAACCAACTTCAATTGTACACTTTAAATGCGCAGTCTGCATGGCAAAAAGTTCCTGGAGTCGAAACTTTCCGTAAACATGCGTCCCCCAGGTTTACACATCCAGGCTTCGAACGGAAGCCCGCATGTGTCGTGCGGATGGCAGTCAATCGCAAATCATGAGTGCGGTTTAAAGATTGTGCCAGCGTCATGAGACCTCAACCACACTCACGTCGCTGACAGCATCATCGTCTGCCCTTTCTCATTATCAGTCACCTCTCAGTCTTCGCTTCCACCACCTACTACCTTGTAAATCGCTTCGATTCACGTCGTTTCGATATTCGTCATCGCACCTTTCAGCGTAAACCGGGGGGTATTACTCTACTAAGATATGTACGTATGTTGAACTTCTTTCGCACTGATAATTGTGCACCTTTTGGCGTCATCTGGTCCAACACCATGTGAGACTAGGCTCTAAGTAAACTCGTCTCGGGTGTGGACCATACATTATCAGAGTTATGTTTTTTGTTTGCATTATGACTGCAGGTATTGTGGTCTATGCAAACATGACTCCTCGTAAAAAAGGTGTCAGTTTTGTTGCCAGATAAAAGGGTAAAAAAACTATTATCATATGTTTTTACTGGCAAATGAGGTACCAATGGTGTTCTTTCGCACTGTACGTAGCCGGCCGTGCTCATTGGAGGTGTGGGAATAAAATATAACCACGGCAGGATTCGGACCTGCAATCCTCCGATCCGAAGTCAAAGACGCCTTCTCCATTAGGCCACGCGGCCGCAGTCGAAAGTTTTGATATCCATTGCTTTGGTAACTTTAGCCACGCAGTTGACTCGTGCAAACGTGACCGTCCTTGCTTCTTGAGGTTCCCGCCTGGTTCTTCAGACTTGTTGATGAACGCAATTCCGGGCACGGTGCGTGATGCGTGCCCTCCGCCGCGCCTTGCGTGCAGGGTGTCCGAGCAGCAGGGAGAGCCGGTTGTGCCGTCCAGTCCCCAGAGAGTCAAGGGCCTCGAGGAGCGCCTTGCACAAGCCCAGATGGAGCTCAGCTTCTACAAAGAGAAATACCAGCAAGGTAACGGCCCCATCTAACAAGCTGATTAATCTTATCCTAACGGAAATTCTATAACGCCTTAACCAACGCGAATTTACAAAGAATTAACGACGGTACGACGCGTGTGAAGGTAACGGTGGAGTTGAGGTGAATGAAATAGATGAGAGGAAGCAATAGGCAAATCGGGGATGCAAGAATTCCGTGAAAGCGAAATTGATGACCGTGAATGATGATGAATGGATTCAATGAATGGGGAATAAGTGTTAGCCACAGGGTGGTGGTGGTTATGAGGGGGAGATTAAGGGGGGGACGTGGGGTGAGCTTGGGGACAAGAAGTGAGTTTTGGGTGAGGAGCGGAGACTCGTGAGCGAAGGTGACCGCTTAATGTGGAGGGGGAAGTTTGTTCTAGTGAAGGGGGAGGGCGAGAAGAGAGAGAGAGCGACAGCGTGGATTGAGCACAAGGTGAAGGAGGAATGAATAAACAGACCACACACCCTCCACATGGATAAGAAGTTTTTTTTACTACACATCCACTCAGCCGACACGGGCCCCTCTTGGCGGAGTGCGGGTAATAGAATTAAATGTTACGCGAAATATCTGTCGTGTGTCACTCTGTGCAGACAGCAAGGGGCGGCAATTGCAGCGAAAGCGTTTATGATGAAAATATTGTGAGAGGTTGGAGACTATAACGTGGTCTTCTTGAGTTTGTATGCATTTTTTTCTACCCGTTGTAGTCGATGTCTTACAAAAAAAAGATACAGCTAAACGCTAATTGTTCAATACTAGGACACATGTTTAGTAAAACTTAATTAGCGCAAGAACTATTAGAGTTGTTACAAGGGCATTAAGGGCTCATTACTACGTTCCCCGCCGGCGTATGACGCACTGCGTGTGCGTCTCGAACGAGCGAGCGCAAATTTGAGTTTAGGCACTGCCGTTATATGGAAGAATTACTACAATAAATAATGTAGAGAACAATGGCGTCTGGAGTAAAATGATTCTCTCTCGTCATATAACATCGCTCCAGCTATGCATATTTGGCACGTGGAATGGAGAGTTTGGTGAGTTTCTCTGTGTAACAAGTGTGCAGGACCACTGATGAATTGTCACCAATATTACAGTCTTGTAGCTCCTCCCCCTGTCACGTAGCTCCACCCCCTGTCCTGTAGCTCCACCCCCTGTCCTGTAGCTCCACCCCCTGTCCTGTAGCTCCACCCCTTGTCATGTAGCTCCACCCCCTGTCCGGTAGCTCCACCCCTGTCCTGTAGCTCCACCCCCTGTCCTGTAGCTCCACCCCCTGTCTTCTAGCTCCTCCCCTTGTCCTCTAGCTCCACCCCCTGTCCTGTAGCTCCACCCCCTGTCCCGCAGCTCCACCCCCTGTCCCGTAGCTCCACCCCCTGTCCTGTAGCTCCACCCCCTGTTCTGTAGCTCCACCCCCTGTCCTGTAGCTCCACCCCCTGTCCCGCAGCTCCACCCTCTGTCATGTAGCTCCACCCCCTGTCCCGCAGCTCCACCCCCTGTCCCGCAGCTCCACCCCCTGTCCCGTAGCTCCACCCCCTGTCCTGTAGCTCCACCCCCTGTCCCGCAGCTCCACCCCCTGTCCCGCAGCTCCACCCCCTGTCCCGTAGCTCCACCCCCTGTCCTGTAGCTCCACCCCCTGTCCCGTAGCTCCACCCCCTGTCCCGCAGCTCCACCCCCTGTCCCGCAGCTCCACCCCCTGTCCCGCAGCTCCACCTCCTGTCCCGCAGCCCCACCCCCTGTCCCGTAGCTCCACCCCCTGTCCCGTAGCTCTACCCCCTGTCCCGCAGCTCCACCCCCTGTCCTGTAGCTCCACCCCCTGTCCCGTAGCTCCACCCCCTGTCCCGTAGCTCCACCCCCTGTCCCGTAGCTCCACCCCCTGTCCCGCAGCTCCACCCCCTGTCCCGTAGCTCCACCCCCTGTCCCGTAGCTCCACCCCCTGTCCCGCAGCTCCACCCCCTGTCCCGCAGCTCCACCCCCTGTCCCGCAGCTCCACCCCCTGTCCCGTAGCTCCACCCCCTGTCCCGCAGCTCCACCCCCTGTCCCGTAGCTCCACCCCCTGTCCCGCAGCTCCACCCCCTGTCCCGTAGCTCCACCCCCTGTCCCGTAGCTCCACCCCCTGTCCTGTAGCTCCACCCCCTGTCCCGCAGCTCCACCCCCTGTCATGTAGCTCCACCCCCTGTCCCGTAGCTCCACCCCCTGTCCTGTAGCTCCACCCCCTGTCCTGTAGCTCCACCCCCTGTCCTGTAGCTCCACCCCCTGTCCTGTAGCTCCACCCCCTGTCCCGTAGCTCCACCCCCTGTCATGTAGCTCCATCCCCTGTCCGGTAGCTCCACCCCCTGTCCTGTAGCTCCATCCCCTGTCCTGTAGCTCCATCCCCTGTCCGGTAGCTCCACCCCCTGTCCCGTAGCTCCACCCCCTGTCCCGTAGCTCCACCCCCTGTCCCGTAGCTCCACCCCCTGTCCCGTAGCTCCACCCCCTGTCCTGTAGCTCCACCCCCTGTCCCGCAGCTCCACCCCCTGTCTTGTAGCTCCACCCCCTGTCCCGTAGCTCCACCCCCTGTCCCGTAGCCCCACCCCCTGTCCTGTAGCTCCACCCCCTGTCCTGTAGCTCCACCCCCTGTCCTGTAGCTCCACCCCCTGTCCCGTAGCTCCTCCTTCTGTCCCGTAGCTCCTCCCCCTGTCCCGTAGCTCCACCCCCTGTCCCGTAGCTCCACCCCCTGTCCTGTAGCTCCACCCCCTGTCCCGCAGCTCCACCCTCTGTCATGTAGCTCCACCCCCTGTCCCGTAGCTCCACCCCCTGTCCTGTAGCTCCACCCCCTGTCCTGTAGCTCCACCCCCTGTCCTGTAGCTCCATCCCCTGTCCGGTAGCTCCACCCCCTGTCCCGTAGCTCCACCCCCTGTCCCGTAGCTCCACCCCCTGTCCCGTAGCTCCACCCCCTGTCCCGTAGCTCCACCCCCTGTCCTGTAGCTCCACCCCCTGTCCCGCAGCTCCACCCCCTGTCTTGTAGCTCCACCCCCTGTCCCGTAGCTCCACCCCCTGTCCCGTAGCCCCACCCCCTGTCCTGTAGCTCCACCCCCTGTCATGTAGCTCCATCCCCTGTCCGGTAGCTCCACCCCCTGTCCTGTAGCTCCATCCCCTGTCCTGTAGCTCCATCCCCTGTCCGGTAGCTCCACCCCCTGTCCCGTAGCTCCACCCCCTGTCCCGTAGCTCCACCCCCTGTCCCGTAGCTCCACCCCCTGTCCCGTAGCTCCACCCCCTGTCCTGTAGCTCCACCCCCTGTCCCGCAGCTCCACCCCCTGTCTTGTAGCTCCACCCCCTGTCCCGTAGCTCCACCCCCTGTCCCGTAGCCCCACCCCCTGTCCTGTAGCTCCACCCCCTGTCCTGTAGCTCCACCCCCTGTCCTGTAGCTCCACCCCCTGTCCCGTAGCTCCTCCTTCTGTCCCGTAGCTCCTCCCCCTGTCCCGTAGCTCCACCCCCTGTCCCGTAGCTCCACCCCCTGTCCCGTAGCTCCACTCCCTGTCCCGTAGCTCCACCCCCTGTCTTCTAGCTCCACCCCCTGTCTTCTAGCTCCACCCTCTACTGTGTAGCTCCGCCCCACTGGTAAATCCTCGGCAGCTGATATAAAAAGCCCCAATACTACATACAGAAAAGCGCTTCACTGTGAACTTCCCTATTGACTTTGGGAAGTTAGAGCATAGAGTCAAAACAAGTGCAGCTGGCAGCACGAATCTTAATGCCGCAGATGCTGCCGCTGGCTAAATAGTTTATAAAGACTCGCTTTCCCTTCTGGATGATATTTCGTACGCTTTGTTCGTTGGCAGAAAATGCAAAACAGGCGTCGGAGGTCGGCCCCGCCGTGAGCGCCGTGGCCGCGGCCGCGAGGATCCCTGCCGGCCCCGGGACGGACCATGAGCTGCTGCGGAGGAAGGTTGAGAACGGCATCAAGGAATTCTGGTTCTTCGTGCGCAGCGAGCTGAAGAAGATGCAGCACGACGCCGGCGATCACTCCAAGGAGAAGATAACCATGATGCTGCAGGACATGGGTCATCAACAGAGGTCCCCAACCCCCACAGCTGCCACTTCGCAAAGTCGTCGCGCTGCATTCACTGAAAGTTGCTCGAGTTCACTGAAAATAATACAAAAATATTATTTATTATTATACGGCTCGTTTAGCTGGGAAAGTCTCACTGAATCTCAAGACTCTTTTTTAGGAGGGTCCTGCCAATTTTTTGCATTACGCGGCGATGTTGCTACTGCTGTGTTTGGCCAATGCCAGTTTACATTGTGTGATTTTAGCTGCGGGAGGAAAGCATAGAGGAATACAGAACACGGGGAGAACATTTAAACTCCACATATTAAGGCGCCCGAGTCGGGAATCGAACCCAGGACTTTCTTGTTGTGAGGCACGAGTGTTACCCGCTGTGCCACCCACCCCAACCGCCCACCCCAACCGCCCACATAAAGAAGGGGGAATCCAAACAACCCTCATGCACTATCCGTCGTTCTCACTGCGTGCATGCCCGTCGGTGCTTGTGCGCCCAGGTCGATCATGACGGACCTGTTGAAGCTGAGCGAGGCGGACGGGGCGGCCGAGTGGAGGGCCCGGGAGGCCAAGGACCTCTCCGACCTGGTGCAGCAGAGGTTCCACTTCCTGCAGGCGGGTGCAGACGCGCGTCGCACTCACAGCGCCAGCCCTTCCGCCATCGGGTCACCTCTGACGTGGCTTTTATAATCCGCACCTCGGATTCGCACGGTTGGCGACGTACAGCGCGAAAGAAGTTCTAACATACATGCGTACATAATCCATCCGTTCTCACCTTTCACTGGGCTTCATCATCATTGTCGTCGTTGTCAGCTATGATCAATCCCGTGATAGATTACGACCTTCGCAAGCCGCGACCTTCTCATGTAACAATCCATCCAGCGACAGACCACAGGGTGGGAACCACTGCGCCCGAGGTGTTAGGGTTTGTGCTGTTTACTTCGTGACAATTCACGTTTTTTTAATATCCTAAGCGTCATTTATTCATGTTCAGAGACCCAAGATCAAACTATAACTGCTTCCCCAGTATTACGAAGAAGAAAATATTCAAATAGTATTTGCTAAGACTTGGAACTCAAATCAGTAAATTTACGAGAAAACCCATCGCCAACAGAAGACGTAGCACAGGCCCAGACAACAGATTTAATAACGCACAGAGATGCATTGCTTTTAAATAACCATTCGGCCAGCTCAAAAAAACTGCATGTGCGGTGGTGACACATGCAGGTCGGGAGGTGGTGACGCACGCCTGTGCTCCAGCACCATGGAGGCAGCTAGGGTATCACTCCGCGTATTGTATCACTCTACCGCTCAGTTGTGCAGCTTAAGAAACGAGGTCGTCATCGACCGCTCGAAAACCGCATTATAATGGTACACTTTTGACGCTATAACGGTGCACTTTCCACACTATAGCGGTGCGCGTTTTACATTGTGCGATAAGTTGGTCACGAATGGAAGAACTGCGCTTTAGTGCAAATGCATTGTAGCGTGAACACCGCGCGTGAAGCGACGACTTGCCGTACTTTCAAACCATGCTTTGGGGGGTTTCCACCAATCTAGGCAAACGGGAGATGTTGCAAGACAGGGCCGCACCTCTCCTGTCCTGAATCCACACGGCTTGTTTTTTATTATTATTGATATTCTTTTACTCTTTAAACATCAGTGGAGGTGCTGCAACGTTTTGCTCGCATCACTGCTGGCGGAAAGGCCTCCTCTAGGGGGCCTCTCGAGTGGGTATTTGGCCTAATCTTCCACGCCAGCCAGACATTACGTTACGGTGCTGTATGTCTCCCGAGCCGCACGCTCTCTCAAGTTGCGCTCTGATCTCCTCCACACTCGTATCTAAAATATTCTTTAACGAGCTTTACTACCCGGCTTCGCCCGGGACTTAGATTCACCACGCCTGGCCGCCTTTGTCCCCCCAGTGGCGATTTTTACACACCACACCAGTTACTCGTTTGAGGCTAGGGGAGGCCCAGAACGCCTTAGACCTGCAACACATTTGTATTTCACTTTACCCGCGATCAGCAGGAACACTCCGTTACGCTTCCGCACACGGGTCACATGACAGATGTGACGTCACAGCTCACTTGCCATGCAAAAAATATATGCATCATTGAGCTCCCCCCCCCACAAAAAGGTGTATTTTTATAATTGTTGCATGGTGTACAGTCTGGAAAGTACCCACATGGCAAATTTCAAGTTTGTTGCATGTCGGGAAGTACGCTAAACATTTTGAACAGACGCACATAATCACAAATTTCCCTTTTATATATATGGAGATAAGCTCGATATTCCCAGCATCAGCTTCAAAAGGAATGTTCCTTCTCCCGTTATGCTACTGTACCGTATGCTGTCAGTGCACTGCCACTTGTATCAGTAGTTTATATTACGGCACTATTTGGATTACAAAGCGCCTAAACGTGATTCGCGGCAAGATGCTGGACACAAAAAACGGCGGGCATATTTGTTTTTTAACCATGCTGCCCTGCCTCGGACCACTTCTAAGATGCATAGAGCAGTGTCCGTGGTCAGGAGGCATATATTTCCCACGGTAACATATCACCGCGTCGGCTCGCATGAACGCCAATTTCCTTCCAAGGACATTACCGCTGAACCAAGGCCAGCCCTCGTTGCTGAACTGATTGCATATGTTTACGACCAATCATCACGTCCGTCCGTGGGGGGCTCTCTTTCTCCCCACGAGGACTGAGCTCCGACACCGGAGCCGTTGTGAAGTGTAATCACGAGTGTGCGATAATTACGTGCCTCATTCTGTCCCCAACCCTAATTGGCGTGTTTGCAGTTGAGCACGTGCCTCTCATCAGGGCCTCTCCTTGCTGCGAAGGGTATATTTTGGTATTGGTTTAGACTGAGGGTGCTATATTTCATTTCACGAAGGGTTAAACACGTTAAAGAATGTTTCAAGCGGTAATAAGTCAATAATTATAAACCAACGAATTTGTTGTACCCACGTAGGATTGCGCTGTATTCCCGTAGGGTTGCGCTGTGCTCACCGGCGATGTGCGTTGATGCTGTCGGGGAATAAAATAAACCACGAACACAAATGGGAAGGATTGCACGTGAGAGAGAAGAGGAGAGGGGGGGCGAGGAGAGGGGACGGGGCCCTCCCGCCGTGCCAGTGCTTGCACTTCAGGTCACGTGCTCTAGGAGGCGCTGGAGGTTGCACATCTATCTATATATAAAAAAGGGAAATTTGTGAATGTGTGTGTCTGTTCAAAATGTTTAGCGTACTTCCCGACATGCAACAAACTTGAAATTTGCCATGTGGGTACTTTCCAGACTGTACACCATGCAAAATGTAAAAAAATAACTTTGGTATTTTTTTTGGGAGGGGGGGGGGGGGGCGCAATAATGCATATTTTTTGCACGGCAAGTGAGCGGTGATGTCACATCTGTGATGTCACCCGCATGCGGCAGCGTTGCGCAGTGTGCCTGCTGACGTCACGCATCCCGCCCACCACCCTCTGCGTAGGCCGTGTATCCCGCACAAATGCACGGCTGGGGGGGGGGGGGGAATAATGCGAAGAATGGGTACACCTGCTAGTCTAGAATAAAGTTTAACCATATTCTTTGGGTCTTTCGGTAAAGTCGCGTAGATAGGTTAAAAGAAAATAACAAAAAACTACAACGTTTATTGGTGGAAGCCCACCACCAGCGCCGTCATTGCCCTCTACGAGTACCATCACTTACATTAGCTGCCCTGCCCATGCTGATGACACTTGGGCTGCGCCCATGTCAAACCTTGGAAAACAGTTTGCCTTGAGGCTAACCCCCTTTTCCTGATAACGACCGCTTGTGTTGCGATCGGAACGTTGTAGTTTTTGGTTATTTTTTTGTTATTTTCTTTGAACCTCTCTACGTGACTTTATCGAAAGACCCAAAGAATATTAATTCCTGCAGTTACGAAAGCTTTAAGTCAAGGTTTAACCAAAAAAGCAAAATCAAAAATGTTTTAGGCTTTTCGAACTTTCAGGATGAACACCCCAAATTTAGACCAGATTTAACACCCAAGACACACAACTCGGTGTGTATCTCTGTTCGGAGGGTCTGCGTGGGGCCAGGCATCGCATAGGATCAACGCTGTCCCTGCCTGCAGGTAGACGAGGACGAGCACCATTGTGTGCTGCCTCGCCATGTGTCCCCTGTAGTTGTGTGTATGTGTGTATGTGTGTGTATGTCTTCCACTCCGGTGGTGGGTGTACACCCAGGATCCCATTCCAACCAAAAGTGGCCTGGTCTCAGTTAGCTGATGAAAGTTGCAAGCAAGAATTTCATCATCGCTTGCAGCTGGGGTTGGCATCGTCCCCCACTCCACCTGATGTTGAGGGGAAATGGGCGAGGTTTAAGACTGTGACTCATGCAGCTGCAATGGCTGCTTTGGGTACGCGGTCCAGACCTCCCCAGAAACCCTGGCTGACAGAGGAGGTGTTCAGGTTAATTGAGAAAAAGCGTCAGGCCCACTCTCATCGCCTACAGCATCCCACGTCAGAGAATGAGGAGGTTTACCGCAGCCTTCGCTCGGAAGTTCGGAGAGCCGTAAGGCGCTGTAAGGATGGGTGGTGGTCGCGGGTTGCTGAGGAGATGGAGTCTGCCTCAGTGGCCCGTGATCACAAATCACTATTTAACTCCATCAAAAAAGTAACCTGCAGCGCCACACCTATTACCATCATTAGAGGAAAAAACGGTGATCCAATCTCCGACCCCCAGGAACAGGTTTGCAGATTTGCTGAGCATTTCTGTGAGGTCCTGGGGGAGGGAAATTCTCTCAGCCAGGAAAACATCATGGCACAAAGTGGTGATAACCCTGCTGAGGCTGCGGTGCCTCAAATATTGGAAGAGGTCACCCCCTGTGAGTGGCTGGCTGAGGTGCCAGCTGTTGAGGAAGTACTGAGGGCAATCCGGAGTCTGAGACCAGGGAAGGCATCGGGCAGAGATGATCTCCCAAGCGAAATGCTGAGGGAGGGTGGCGTTTGTGCACAGACTGCCCTATATGACATCATAACAACAGTCTGGACCACTGGACGGGTTCCGCAGGACTGGAAGGATGCCCTGGTGGTCCTCCTCTTTAAGAAGGGGGACCGTACCGACTGTAACAACTACAGGGGCATCTCACTCCTCAGTGTGCCGGGTAAGGTCCTGGCAAGGATTATTCAACATCGCCTTGCTAGGCACGCTGAGGAGGGGCTTGCGGAGCCCCAATGCGGTTTCAGGAAAGGGCGGTTCTGCACAGATGCTATATTTTCTGTCCGTCTGCTACAGCAGAGGTGTAGGGAATTCCAAAAAGACCTACATCTCTGCTTTATTGACCTGGTCAAGGCCTATGATACCATCAGTAGGACTGGGCTCTGGGTTGTTCTTCGTGCTTTCGGAGTCCCTGACCCTCTGCTCACGATCATTAAGGACCTTCATGATGGTGAGCGGGCCCGGGTAAAACTACGTGGCCGGGAGTCGGAGCCTTTCCCTGTACACCTTGGGGTGCGACAGGGATGTCCTCTGGCTCCCACATTATTTAACATCTATTTTGACCGCGTAGTTCGTGAAGCCTTCAATAGCTGTACCGGGGGAATTTCCATTTGGTACAGATATAATGG